ATATTTATCTTCCTTTTTTGATAATATTTACTTTATCATCTTTTTGTTAAAGTCTTTATATATATATATATAAAATATTATAAAATAAATTTCTCTATAAATCTATATTTTAAATAAATTAAATAAAAAAAAATATATATATATATATACACATATAAAAAAAAATTTTTTTTATATATTCGTTTCTATTTAAGCAATTTTGTGTTCTTCTGTGTTTTTTCTTCAAAAAAAAAAAATGAAGATTAGAGAAATAGCTAAATTACTACCACGACTTGGTAGTTACGATAGAGATATAGAATCATGGGCTGAAGAGTTCAATAGGGTAATGGAACTCTCAGACATTGATGACCCTAGAAAAATGTTTGCTTGGGCAAAAGAATGTGTTCCTGGACGATTAAAAGGAGTAATTGAAGATCTTAAAGAAGAAGATGAAGAGGCTGAAATGATTATATATCCAAGTATTACGGATATTAAAACAGCCATTGAAAAATTTTTAGATATCACTCCTCAAGAAAAATACTTTAACCTAAAATCACACAAAATACAAAAGGGTGAATCAATTAAAGACTTTAACTGGAGATACGGTAAATTATATGGATCACCTGAAAATATTAATAATAAAAATAATATTGATAATTTTTCTAAAAATTTAAATGAAATTAATAATATTGATAATTTTTCTAAAGATTCAAATAATATTAATAATATTTTTGAAAATCTAAATAACTTTAATAAAACTAATAATTCTTATAATAATTTTAAAAATAAAAATAATATTAATAATTTTTCTGAAAATTTTAATAAAAATAATAATAATAAAATTTCTAAAAATTTTAATAAAAATAATATTAATAATCTTTCTAAAAATTTTAATAAAAATAATATTATTACTGATAAACCTTCTAAAAATTTATGTAATAATAATAATGATAATATAGTTTCTAAAGATTTTGATAATACTAATAATAATAAAAAATTTTTTACAATTTTTAATGAAGATCATGATAATAAAAATTCCTTCGAAATTAATCCTCATATTAATGATATTAATGATTTGGTTATAAGTGGTAATAAAAATGATAATAAAAATTCTTTACAAAATAATTATTCATTATTAACAAAAATTAATGAAATTAATAATAAAAGGAATTATGAAAACAAAGTAATCAGAAATATTGTTAGTTCGATTGAAAATACTAATAAGAATTTTAAAAGAGCAAAAGAAATAACTATTCATGAAATTGCGATTAAAGCACCAACAAAAATTAGAAACAAATTAGAATTTCTATTATTAAGTAATATGAATGTATTAGCACTTGATACTGATGATTTAGGTAAATCGAAATTACTAAGTCATAAAATAAAAATCATAAATGGAGAATGGTAGTGGACTAAAGAAAATTAAATGATATTACTATTAAATACGCATATTCTTTACCTAATATAGAAGAAATATTATTTTCTATAGGCAATAAAGTTAAGGGCAATAAAGTTAAGTACTTAACCACGATTGACCTATTTTCTGGTTTCCATCAGATTCCTATGGAAAGAGAAGATAGAGAGAAAATTTGCTTTACTACTATGTATGGAAATTACAATTACAAAGTTATGCCATTCGGATTTTGTAATGCTCCTGCAACTTTCCAACGTGAAATGAACAGAATATTCTTACCTTTAATTGGTAAGTGTATGTTCATTTATACGGATGATTTAGTAATATTTTCCAATACCTTAGAACAATACATATTGGATCTTCAAAAAGTTAAGTGAAATGGTGGCCGACATATTAACAAAAAACATTAATGGAACAAAATTAAAAAGTTTCACAAGTAAAATTTTTGACATAAGCTAATACAAACTATACAAAACTAAACAATACATACTATAAAATCAACTTTACAAAAACATTAAATCATTTCCTAAAATAATTTAAGTTTTAGGCGGAATGTTAGAATAATTAAAATATTGAATTGAATTAATAATAATTAGTAATAATTAGTAATGCATTTATTCTAAGAATATTCATGTAATTCATAATTAGTAATGAAGTCAAGCCACAAAATTTTATATAAATACACCTTTATTTGTGTTAATACTAAAACAACAATTAACAATAATATAATAAATAAAATTATAAATTTATTAATAAAACTTAAATATTTCTTATATATAATATATATATATATAATAATTTTATTAAAAAAAAAAAAAAAAATTATTTTATGAATGTAACTAAATTTTGGTGACTTCAAGGGACGAAGTCTAATTTCAGTGGGGACTTCTTAATACCGTACTACCATAAATACCAAAATTTAGTGGTTAGAAATTATTTAGTGAAATCTTATTGGTTAATAATAATTTAGTAATATTATTTATAGTTAGTAAATAATAATAGTTTAAGGAATGGTTCTTTTATTAATATTAATTTAGTTTATTAATAATTCAACCCATAAACATGTTTATTAGTATAGTTTAGTAAGTTTTATATTCAGTTTACATTAATAATATGAAAGATTTTAGTAATTAATTATATTTTATTGAATGATTTAATTATATTTTAACTAGTTAATAATTATTTAATATTAATAAATAATAAATAATGTATTTTTATTGATGAATAAAGTAAATAAACTAAATATTAAAAAGTAAATATTATTATGTAATATACACAATAATAATATTCACTTTTTAATATTTATTCTATATAATATTAGAATATATTATTTTGTCAATTATTCCCTACTGTTATCGTCCATATAAAATAAAATAAATATTGATATTGGAATTAAATAATATAAAATTTAGTAGAATTAATATGTATTAATATAATTAAAATAATAAAATATATTGATTAATATTTAAATATAAAATAAAATAATAAAATTAAAATACGACAAAAGAATTATCACTATTGTTTATTATATATTTTATTAGTGTGTGTTTATTATTATATTCTTCTGTTAGAATATATTATTTTATAATTAAGCAACTTGCTCAACCGAACACTGATACTATTAATAATATCGTATCATTTGTAGTAAAGATCGAATATATAATGGATTATTAATTAGAATTTCAACTTACTTTAGAATCCATTATATTGTTCTTTACTTAATATTAATTTACTATATTTTATATACTAAAAATATTTTATAAATATAATTTTTTTTCTATATTTCTATTAAAAAGTTACTAAAATATTATCAATAATTCTATATTTTTATTATTAATATCAATATCTAAAATATAACCTTAAATTTTATTATTTTATTAAAGTGTTTATTATCAATATTAATATTTTATTTTTATTTTCAAATATATTATTATATTATTATTATATTGTATCAATATTAAAATTGTATTCTTTCTAGTATTTTATTTTATTTTTAAATTGATTATTTAATATTTTTATTCCCCACAAATAAAATCAAATCTTAATTGATTAATAATAAATATTAAATATATTATAGTTTTTAAATTTATTTTATATAAAATATAAGAATAATATATTAATATTCTCGATTAAAATAACTTTATTTTCTGTAAAATCTTTTTAAATTTTGTTTGTTTCTTTTCGTATATATTAAATAATTTAGTTTTAGTATATGAAAAATAATATAAAATTATATAAACAAAATTTATTAAAATAAAATAATTATGAATTAGTTTATTTAATTTAATATATAATTTGAAGTAATTAGTAATAGTAAATTATTTTTTTTAAATATGATGATAAAATGTAGAAAAGCTTTACATATTTATTTTTTTTCAAAAAGTATAAATAAGTGAAGTTTTTCAATAATTAAAATATAGACAAATAGAAAAAAATAAATAATTAAATAAAAATATTTCTAATAAACCCGAACCATTACATGTTTGATAAATAACGAAATTATAAAATTAAAATAAATAATAAATAATAAATTCTTTTTTTTACTTAACCCAAAAATTAATTCATTCTAAAAGCGAAATCAATTTTAAAAAATTTAATTAAATAAAAATGAATTAAAATAAAAATAATAACAATCTAATTAATCATTAATTATTTTAATTAAAACTAAAATAAATTAATAATTATTGTTCTTTATATTTTATTAACAAATAAAATAATAATATTGTAAATAATTATTATTATAAACAAACAAATTTTAAAATCTTATAGCAAAATAGTCTTAAAATTACTTTTAATTTTTATAATAATTAATATTTATTTATTTTATAACTTTACTTCGATTTTAATTATTTTATTTTTTATAGTCTTAAAATTACTTTTAATTTTTATAATAATTAATATTTATTTATTTTATAACTTTACTTCGATTTTAATTATTTTATTTTTATAACTTTTATAAACAAATTATAATTAAAACTTATTTATTTTAATACTTTATTTGTAAATATTTATAACAATTATTTAATTTATTTATTTTATTGTTTATAAATATAAATAGTTTAAAATTATTGAAAAATATAAAAACATGTAAATATTTCTTATAAATTATTCTTTATTATTAATAATTTCAATAAATTATATTAAATATTTTATTAGTTTATTAGTTGTTAATAATCAAATTATGGTTATTAAAAAGTTCAATAAGTATTTTTAATATTTTAATTTATTAGTTTCTTTTAATAATCAATATTTTTAAGATTTAAATAAATTATTATAAATAATAAATATTTTATTTTATTATTTTATTAGTTTTAATAATCAATTTTTCTGATTAATTTAAATAAAATTAATAATTAAATAAATTAAATATTAATATTAAAATAAAAACAATATTTTTAATAAAACAATTTGTATTTAATAATAAAACATATTTATTTTAAATTTCTTAAATTTTTCTTATTTTGTTTTAGTATTTATACTTTTATTCACTTCTACAAAATTTAGTTTTTGAATATTAAGAATAGTAGGTATAAATAATTAAATATAAAAAAGTTAAAAATATAAATTATATAATATATATATAAAATTATATTAAAAAATAATATGATGCTCCCGGTGAGGTTCGAACTCACGACCTTCGTGTTGCATAGAAAGTTCTTTCCTATAAGCGCGACGCATTAACCGACTTTGCTACGGGAGCAACTCCAGTATAATTGTGTGTAAGAAATAATAATTATTTACTAATAAATAATTATTATTTCTTAGTCTTTATAATTATTGATAATAATTATAAATTTATTTAAATTATAATTAATTCATACATTGAGATATTATTATCAAATTTATTATAATTGTAATTATTCATACACTTAAATAATATTAGAAAATTTATTTAAATAATTATTATATGTACACTTATTAATATTATTAATTTTATTTAGTTATTCATTTAATTATCAAGTTAATGTAAACATTAGTTTTATTTATTTTTTACATTGTACATTTAAAAGAACAATTAATAAGTTTCTGTATTTTTTATAATTCTGTATTCTAGTTTAAAGATAGTTTTATGTTAATAAGCTTAGATTAGATTTTAAAAATAATATTTAGAAAGATAGAATAGAATAATTTAGATCATTCCGGTTATTATTGATTTTTCCTTTTATTAGATGATCTAAATTAAAATTTAGGAAATCGATATATTAAGGTTTTATCCAAATATAAAATAATATATTTGGTTTTACTTAATATATACGATGATCGATATGAATAGAATATCGATCAAAAAACTTATCTAGTTTTTTCTTCTAATCTTTTTCTAGATAAGATATTTTTTAAGATTAGAAAACCTTTTTATTTAACCTTATTTCCATAAAAAAATATAAATAAGGCTCTTGATTTCCCTTTAAGAAATCAAGAGTTATTATTATAAAAATATAGTTATAATAATAGCAATTTTATATTTTAAATTTTAATAAATTAATAAAACATTTTATTCAAAAAACATATTTCTTAAAACCAAATTTATCTAAATATTCCTTCTTTTACTTTTTGTGTTGTTATTATAATTAATTTTATAATAAACTCTCTTTTTAGGTAAAGTTTTTATTTTTATTTTATTTCTCAACTTAATGAATTAGTCATTAAGTTGAAGTTAATAATCATATTTAGTGATAGAACTTAGTATGATTATTACATTGTGATACGGTGTGTCACTAAATACCTTGTATTTCCTATTAAATACTCTTAATTGTTGAAATTATAACTGAATTGAAATCTCAATTTCAGTTATTTACATTTCAATAATTAAAAATATTATTTAATTATAAATAATATATATATTTAAATAATTAATAATTAATATAAATTCTTGTTTAATATTTAAAGGGTTATCTTAGGCCTAATAATCCTGAGAATATTAATAAATAAGGTTTATATTAATAATTAATTTCAATGATACATTTGACGTCACGTGTATTTTATTTATATTATGTTTTTATATATGTTTACAACATATCTATATTAAATTCAATTATTCAAATTAATTATATAATTAAATTTATCCTTATATTTTATTATTATTTATATTACTATATTATTACTATCTTATAATTAAATATTATTATTATGTAACTTACAAAGTATAAAAGAAAGATGTAAAAATCTATCTTTTATGTTCTTTGTAAGGTTATTGTAAAATTACCTTAATAGTAATATATTATAGATATTTTATTATTAAATAAAATCAATAAATTTAAAATCAAATTAATTTGATAATTCTAATTATCAAAGTTTATTATAAATAAATTTTCATTAAACTAAACATTTAAATATTTATTATTATTATTAATCTATATAGTATATTACTATATAGACATATCGACTTAGTGAATATTTTTTAATAAACCATATTATTTTATTTAAATTTAAACTATAAATTATATCAAAATCTTAACATTAATAATAATAAAATAAAATTATTATTAAATATTCTTATTAAAATCTTTTATAATAAAAATTATTAAATATTCTTATAAAATGCTTTTATTAATATCAAATCTAATAAAAATTATTATTAAATATTCTAATAAAAAATATTTTATTAATATTAAATATAATAAAAATTATTATTAAATATTCTTATAAAATTCTTTTATTAATATTAAATATAATAAAAATTATTATTAAATATTCTTATAAAATTCTTTTATTAGTATTAAATATAATAAAAATTATTATTAAATATTCTTATAAATTTCTTTTATTAATATTAAATATAATAAAAATTATTATTAAATATTCTTATTAAAATCTTTTATTAATATCAAATATAATAAAAATTATTATTAAATATTCTTATTAAATATTCTTTTATTAATATTAAATATAATAAAAATTATTATTAAATATTCTTATTAAAATCTTTTATTAATATCAAATATAATAAAAATTATTATTAAATATTCTTATTAAATATTCTTTTATTAATATTAAATCTAATAAAAATTATTATTAAATATTCTTATTAAAATCATTTATTAATATCAAATCTAATAAAAATAATTATTAAATATTTTATTAATATTAAATATAATAATAATTATTACTAAATATTCTTATTAAAAATTATATAATATTTAAATCATTACTAATTCCTATTTTTATATTAAGAATAATAAAAACCTATTTCAATAAATATTTGATATAAAATACAGAATTATAAGTTTCTGTATAATATTTTCTAAACCTTTGAAATAAACTAAAAATAAATCAAAAATCAAAAATAAATTAAATCTTTATTAAAAATAAAAATGAACTAAAATACAGAATTTCAATAATAAAAAAAATGATCTAAAATACAGAAAATATCAATTCTGTATAATTCTCTCTCTGAAAAACAATATCAAGAAGAAGCTACCGCCCGGAATGCCCTTCGTGATACAAGCTCTAAATTAATTTTTTATATTTTAATTTAATAAATGTTATTTTTTTTTTTTTTAAAAAATAATTTAAAATAATAGTTAAAAATTAAAATAAAATAGTTATAATAGTTTTTTTTTTATAAAGAATATATTAAAAATAAATAAAATGTATTAAAATAAAAGTATAAAAAGAAGAATAAATTTCTTTCTTTTTAATACTGGGAACAAATAATTTTAATTTTAAATTTAAATAAAGAATATTTTAAAATTAAAATAAAATAGTTATAATAGTTTTTTTTTTATAAAGAATATATTAAAAATAAATAAAATGTATTAAAATAAAAGTATAAAAAGAAGAATAAATTTCTTTCTTTTTAATACAGGGAACAAATAATTTTAATTTTAAATTTAAATAAAGAATATTTTAAAATTAAAATAAAATAGTTATAATAGTTTTTTTTTTATAAAGAATATATTAAAAATAAATAAAATGTATTAAAATAAAAGTATAAAAAGAAGAATAAATTTCTTTCTTTTTAATACTGGGAGCAAATAATTTTAATTTTAAATTTAAATAAAGAATATTTTAAAATTTAATTTTTTTTCTTGTTTCCAAATTTATTTTTATAGTTATGTGTTAATATTTATTTTTTTTTTTTTGTTTTGAATATCTTAGTGTTTCAACCCCAGCCCGTATCAATTGTGATACGGGGTGTCACTAAATACCTTGTATTTCCTATTAAATACTCTTAATAATAATAAAATAAAATTATTATTAAATATTCTTATTAAAATCTTATATTAATATCAAATATAATAAAAATTATTATTAAATATTCTTATAAATTTCTTTTATTAATATTAAATATAATAAAAATTATTATTAAATATTCTTATAAATTTCTTTTATTAATATTAAATATAATAAAAATTATTATTAAATATTCTTATTAAAATCTTTTATAATAAAAATTATTATTAAATATTCTTATAAAATTCTTTTATTAATATCAAATCTAATAAAAATTATTATTAAATATTCTTATTAAAATCTTTTATTAATATCAAATATAATAAAAATTATTATTAAATATTCTTATTAAAATCTTTTATAATAAAAATTATTATTAAATATTCTTATAAAATGCTTTTATTAATATCAAATCTAATAAAAATTATTATTAAATATTCTAATAAAAAAAATCTTTTATTAATATTAAATATAATAAAAATTATTATTAAATATTCTTATTAAATATTCTTTTATTAATATCAAATCTAATAAAAATTATTATTAAATATTCTTATAAAATTCTTTTTATTAATATCAAATCTAATAAAAATTATTATTAAATATTATTATTAAAATCTTTTATTAATATTAAATATAATAAAAATTATTATTAAATATTCTTATTAAAATCTTTTATAATAAAAATTATTATTAAATATTCTTATAAAATTCTTTTATTAATATCAAATCTAATAAAAAATTATTATTAAATATTCTTATTAAAATCTTTTATTAATATCAAATATAATAAAAATTATTATTAAATATTCTTATTAAAATCTTTTATAATAAAAATAATTATTAAATATTCTAATAAATTTCTTTTATTAATATCAAATATAATAAAAATTATTATTAAATATTCTTATAAATTTCCTTTATTAATATTAAATATAATAAAAATTATTATTAAATATTCTTATAAAATTCTTTTATTAATATTAAATATAATAAAAATTATTATTAAATATTCTTATTAAAATCTTTTATTAATATCAAATATAATAAAAATTATTATTAAATATTCTTATTAAAAATTATATAATATTTAAATCATTATTAATTCTTATTTTTATATTAAGAATAATAAAAACCTATTTCAATAAATATTTGATGTAAAATACAGAATTATAAGTTTCTGTATAATATTTTCTAAAACCTTTGAAATAAACTAAAAATAAAACAAAAATTAAAAATAAATTAAATCTTTATTAAAATAAAAATGAACTAAAATACAGAAGAATTCCAATAATAAAAATGATCTAAAATACAGAAAATATCAATTCTGTATAATTCTCTCTCTGAATAACAATATCAAGAAGAAGCTACCGCCCGGAATGCCCTTCGTGATACAAGCTCCAAATTAATTTTTTATATTTTAATTTAATAAATGTTATTTTTTTTTTTAAAAAAATAATTTAAAATAATAGTTAAAAATTAAAATAAAATAGTTATAATATTTTTTTTTTATAAAGAATATATTAA